AAAAAAAAAAAAAAAAAAAAAAAAAAAAAAAAAAAAAAAAAAAAAAAAAAAAAAAAAGAAAAAGAAAAAGAAAAAGATCGTAATATCAAGCATAAGAAGAGAAATATACCCAAAAAAAAAAAATCAATCAATTGCGCAACCCAAACGCCTTACGCAGCTTCGGGAACCGCTTCTTACGCCCCGACCCTGTGATCACCACATCCCGTGCGAGCGTGTTCTGGCGCTTGAAATGGCTTCCCTCGCCAGCCACCTGCTCCCCGGGTCCCACGCTTTCACTCGGGTCAGCCCCCGGAGTATCTCTGTTCCCGCTTTCGTTACCATTCACCTGGGGTGGTTCCTCCGGAAATGCCACCGCACCACTAGCAGTCGTAATTGCATCAGCCCCGGCATCGCCGTCAGCCTCGGAAACACCCTTCCGGTCGTGCCGTAGCGGCCATCCGTCCAGGAGACGAGATCCCCGCCGCTGTCCTCTGATGTCCGTTGGCTGGCTGTCGCTGTCATTGGCCGTTACCGTGGTAGTCACGCTGCTTCCGCGATGGTGTTGGACCGCTGGGTTCTCAGTTACTGGTTCCGAGACCACCTTGCGATGCTTGGGTTCGGGGTTCCGCCCTTTGCGGAGACTTAGGCGACTGAGGATCCCCGGCTTGCGACTTGGCTGGTGGAGAAAATCCTCCAACTCATCGCGACTCACACCGCGAGATCGCGCTACTGCGGCCATGGCGGTCGCGTCGGTTGGTCCGGGGCTGCTGATGTTCCGTGCGGGCGCCGTCGCAGACGAGCCCGGACGTCGTCTTTCTTCGTCCGAGCTATCCTCAAGTTCCGTCGACTCGCCATCTTGCATGCCATGGCGACGAGGAATACCTCGTACGGGGCGCATGGTGTTCTGTCCGGGCTCATCCTCATCACTCGAATCCGCAAACCGACTGCGGAAGGTCCTATGTGGACCTTCATCATCATCACCGTCCGAGTCCTCAAACCGGGATGGCGACGAGAACAACGTCCCGGGAGCTCGCGAAAGCTTCTTCCTGTTAGGCGACTTGCCCGTCGAAAAGAACGAGGTCTTTCCGCTCTTGTTTGGCCCGGTTCCGCGTAGCGTGGTAGGCATCCTGTTCGTCATCGACCCCACCGACATTGGCCGGCGTTCTTCAGGCAATTCCTGACGACTTGGCGAAAACTGCACCCTTGGTGGCTCTTGAGAATGAGCCCGCAAGGTCCGTCGCATGGTATGCGACTTCCCAGTAGGCGAGCCAGCTCTTGGTCGCTGAAAGCCGCCAGACGAGTCGCTGGCGCCTGTCATCGGTCTCTGAGTGATAGACTCACGGACAGGGCCCTTGCCGTTGGTGAGGGTTGGGCCCGTTGACACCGGCCTCTTCCGCTCTGGGATGGCCCTTGGTCGAGGAACACCGTTCGTAATAGCCTCTGGAGCGAAAGCCACCGCTGACACAGGCCGCTGGCCCTTGTTGGCCGTAGTGTTTGTTCTTGTAACCACCCCCGATACAGGTCTCGGTTTACCCGTAGTCTTGCGCTTGATCGGGAATGGCGGGTAGGGCGAAGAGAAAGGAAGGGGTTCGTCGACCGTGTCCGGGGAATCCGGAACCCATGGTAGGGGATCATGCGGAGGAGAAACCGCACGACCGATCATCTGCTGCGGTTCTTCCGGCACACTGGGCAGTTCAGCCCCTGCTGGCTTCGTTTTCCCCAAAACCCCAGTCATAGGCTGCTCTGTTTCCTCAGCTGCTTGACCTTCCACTATGGCATTAATAGATCCAAAGCCGTCTCCGTCGATGTCCTCTGCGGCATCACTGTAGACACTTTCGTCAGAATCGTCGTCGGTTCTCTTGCCGCTTGGAATCGGTATTCCTGCCTCGTCAAAGACCACGGATGACTCGGAGCCTGAGCGGTTGTGAGACTTTTTCTTGACTTTCTTCTTGCCAGGCGGCGGTGTCGGTGCTGCCGGAGTCGTCACCCCCGTCGCCGTTTTCGGATTGATAAGCTCCAACGACGTCCGAGGGAACCCTCCGGGGACATCGTATCCTTCCAGACTCGACCGTCCCTTTTCAAGCTCAGGTGACGATGGCTCAACAGTGATGGCAGGAGCCAGACTTGTATTAACAGCAGCAACAGTAGTAGGAACAGAAGTGGCAGGCACAGAAACCAGTTGTTTAGGCTTTGGCACGAATTCTGCAGTCTGCATTCCATCCACCCACGCAGGGCGTATTTCTGGCACAAACTCGCTGACCTCATCGACATTTCCGTTTTCGGAAGTCTTGGCAGGCAATGGCGGGTGTTCGATTTTTTCCGTGAGGTTCATGGCATTCTCCGGCGGCTGGGCATTTGTCAAGATTCCTCCGAGAGCATGATCGTTTGAGAAAGACCACCCCGGCACCATCATATTAGAATTCGACGATGCGATGGACTCAGTGTCACTGGGTTCATCCTGGGTCGGTTGAGGAAGCTCACCACCAACATCCCTCGAGGCCCGTATACTACCAAACGAAGGGAGTGCGGGTCGGGGCTTCAGCACCTCATCGAACTCATCATTACCGACCGCATTGTCCAGCACGGTAGGTTTCTTCTTGCCCAAGCCAAAGAACGTGGTCTTGGATTTGGACCGTCCAGGCGGGGACTCTGGAGGGAACATGTCCTCAGGCGAGGTAGGCGGGCTCGCTGCTACACCCACGATTTCCGCTTCGTCGTCGAAACTGACCTTGGCCGGCTTCCGTCGGACCCGATAACCTTCGTCTGATCCTACTGATGTTCCATCCGACAATTCGCTAGGCGGAGGTGCCGGTCGGAAGATGGTCTTAACTCGATCCGGAGACAAAGACCCTTGCGACGAGTATTTCATGGCAGATTTGACGGGGGAGACGGATCTTGGAGGCGGGTTGCGTATTTCGCCCGTGCCAACCACTGAAAGTTGAGTAGAGAATCGAGCCGACCTTCCTGGACTGGCGCTCGGCTGCCGTGCCCGCGACTGTTTAACAGGTTCCCGCTCCAGCTCAACCGAACGATTTGACGCCGGAGACCCTATCTGATTGAAAGGCGGTGGTGAGCTCAATCGTTCAGGCGTCGGAGGTGATTTGATTATTTGAGGCTCTGGCGTAACTGGCCCTCGGCTGCGATTTTGCTCCCCGATAGAGGCACGATCGATGTTGCTTGTCCCCGCCTCAGCACGTTCCTCGCCATGATAATCCTCCCGGACAGTCGACGGTCGTTTGACCATAATGGGCCGCGACGGAGCAGGGGCTTGCTCCCGGGTGCCAGTTGCACCAGGGACAATGGCCGCTTGCGCCGCTGCGACTGCCGTTCCGACTGACAGTTGCGCTCCGGTCGACTGCCTCTTGTCCGCCGCAACTTTCGTCTTAGGTTTATTGGCCGTCTTCGAAACCGGGCTTCCCGACGGTGACAACTGCTCCGCTAAGGATGTAGGCACTGGACGCTGGTACTGTGGACTCGGAGGGGGAGACGGCGAAGTGGGACGCGAGGCCATCGGATAAGAAAAGTTGATCGAATTCCTGCTACCGGACCTCTCAAGCTCGTGGACCGTGCCCAAACCATTCGACGTCGTTGGACTCCGCGCAACCGCCGGACCAACGCTCATACCACGGGTGCTCGTCCGCCTCGGAGGAGACATGGTCCGCATGGTAGGCGACACGCTGACTGAGCGCCGGCTGGAAGGCGACGGCTTCGGCGACGTATACCCCGGAGGCAGCGACGGCAACGGCGGCGCATCTCTGTTTATCAAATGACTCTGACTGGTAGACAGACGACCGGGAGACTGATCGCGACGGAACGTACGGTTGCTCATGGAACTGGAGCTGCTGGCACGGCGGAGGGTATGCGTCTGACCGGCGCGGAGGTTGGGCTGGGAGGCGATGGATGCCCGGCGCTGGATGCGTTTCGTCTGGACATTTTCGACGGGTTGAGGGGTTGGCGTGAGGCTTCGTAGAGCGGCGGCGGCTGCGGCGGACGAGAGACTACTGGAGGAGGGTTGCGATTGGAGAAAGGCATGGGAGGCGGCGGAATGAGCGGTTTGCGATGGACTTGCGAGGGGCTGTTGAATCAGTATAGGATATTAAATAATAGAGGATGTGAATGGTACCTGATGTTGCGAAGAGCTCCTCCTGCGACGGAACATGGCTGGTCAGGCCTCGGAACCTGCTGCCTCGAGCAAGTGGGATGCTGCAGAAGAATGCGGCTGAACGTCGTCGATAAATTGGCGGGTAAAAAAAAAATGAATAAAATATAATAAAAATTATAATTAGAATAGACGTGTAATAATAAGAATGACTCTATACAACGAGGGAAGAAAAATAGGGAAAAATAGGGAAAAATAGGAGAGAACGTGGGCGCCGACTCGCCGAGTACAGAGACGGTCGCCCAGGGAGGATGCAATCGAGCAAGAGAGAGGAAGGGAGATCAAGCAAATGAACGGAGAAGCAAAGGGAGGAATTAATTAATTATTAGCGTAAAATAAGAATAGACAAGCAGAAGATGAGATGAAGAAAAAAGAGGAAAAGGAGGAGAGAGAAAAGAAATGAGGAAAAAAGAAGGGAAAAAGGAAAAAAAAAGAGTTTGAGTTGGAACTTGCGTCATGACTGGAGTGTGATATAATGACCACAAAAGATAGGTTCCGGCTAGATACTGGTTTTATACAGGGGCATCTTATTACTGCAGATGCTAGAAAGAAATGCAGACCTAAGACATCATCATGCATGTCTGATGTTCATCTCTTCAACCTGTGTCTATACCAACAAGCCTTCCTAGTCATTGAGCAACACTACCGTTGAGCCTGCCTCGAGTCTTGGTATCATCATCGTCGAATCCTTAGTGTTGTGTTACTCTGGGGGTACACTGGTACTGGTACTCTACACTGTCTAACTCTTTCATCATATACTTTGCTAAGGGGTTCAAAGTCAATTCCGGTGGTATGAATAGCTTCAATATTTCCCAAAATGGTATGCAGATCATCCAACCAACCACCACCAACCAATTTATTATCCATTACGCCAAACAGGCTTCATTAAAAAAAAAAAAAAATAAACAAATAAAAAAACATCAATCGGGGTATGAACTAGTAAACAAAACAAATAAAATCAGGTATAAGATCACCACAACCCAACCACCATCGCCACCACCAACGGCACCAATTCCACCCATCGCGCCCTTACAACCTGCCCTGCCCCCGACCCAGACTGATTCAACGGCGCCGTCCGATAGATATCCTGGAACGTGATATCGCTCGAATTAAAGCAATTATCCCGCGTCACCTCCGCGACGTCTTCCGGCTCTGCGAATGTAATATCCACACACTATTTCGTCAGCACCTACCACGCCTCAACATCAAGTCATTTCAAAGGGACATACATTATACAAAGCAGCCCCATGCTGCGCCGCCAACACCACCTGAATCGTCGCATTATCTCCAACATTCACCGTATGTCCCGCCGGCAACGGCACCTGCGGCAAACAGACCGTCCCCGGGTACGGCAGGTTACTGGGTCCCTCAAAGGCAAACGGCTTGATCATGGCGTTGCTCATGTTAGCTGGGACGGTGCCGAAGCCCATGTTCATGTAGATGAAGCCCGAGGAATGGCCGGGAAACCAGCCTGGCTGGAAGGAGATGGCGCCGCCGCGGATGGGCCATTTTGTGCGGTTGGTCGAGGTGGGCATGCCGCCGCCTGTCAAGGGTTAGAAGAAGAAGACATGTAGATATGTGGTGAGTGTAGGACGTACATGGATAAATCCATTCCATGCCGTATGGGTAGATCAAAGAGTCATTCTGCGATGCGACACCGAGACCATTTGCCTCCTCGATGGTTCCGTTGGTTAAGAGGTTATTCCCTCGATAACCAGGGTAAACAATCACAGTATGCGCGTCGACAAGACCAAAGAAGAAAAGAGCAAAGGCAAGCACAAGCCGGAATTCCATGGTGATGGTTCAAGGTGTTGGTATCAACGTTGAAGACCAACGAGTCTCACACGGGGAGAGCGACATTTTGAATGATCCGAGCACGTTTAAAAGAACTGGACTGCAGTGAGGAGATGTGATGGAGGGCGCATCGTTGTGAACGACCACTGGGCAGAAGGTCCATGTGCTGCAGGAGATGTCACACTTTCGGCGGTTGTGATTTGCTGTCGAAGCGCCGGGTTCAGCGCTTGCTTTGAAGAGGGACTGTACTACTACTGCACACTGCTGTATGGGTATGGGTACAGAGTACTTTTAGTGACTGATTTTCTGTCCTCCGTATTCTATTTTGATTTGTACTCCATTCGTAGTTGAAGCTTACTGCAACGAGTTTCGAGGGTAGTTAGTTGTATTTGTATTCCGTAGTCGATAGAAAAATCAATCCCCACCAACAACCACATTACCACATCTACAGAGTACTGAACACCAAATCTTAAGCATCAAACAAATAAAATGCCCCATACAACCCGCCCAAAGAAAAACCAAAAACCCTCCCAAAACAAACGCACAACCATAACCGACGACTCCGGCTGGTCGCACGTCACCACCACCACCCGCGCACGGCGCACCTACAGAAACACAGGCCAAGAAAAGGCCACAGAAACTGAAAAGGAACAACTTAAGCCAGCAGAAGCACCCTCAAATCTGACGCTAGATGATCTCCGGCAACAGTTTAATCGGCATTATGAACGCTGGACGGGGTCGGAGAGTTGGGGTGTTGTGAGGGGGGTTATTTCTTCTCTTACATCTACATCTACATCCACGTCTACATCTGCAGATACAGATACAGATACGGATATAGATTCTGCAAATGCAGGAACAGTAACAGCGCAGATAGACAATATAACCTGCATCGGTCTTGGCAGTCCCAGCGGCTTCCTGCGCGGCGGCTGGGTAGACAGACGACAAGTCAGTCTCGTTCAATTAGCGGCTCTCGTTAGCACTAAAGAGTTGTTTCGTTCGTCTTCCTTCCCCGACTTATACCCCACCAATAAGAACCATCTAACAAGTACAGACAATGTGCGGGTATACACCCAAGACCCCGTCTTCAACACCCTCGACAAAGCACTCTTCGGATCCCTGGGGTTGACAGTTCTCGAACATCCGGCCGGTTTTGAGAAGATATCTGAACAGTCATTCCTTTTTTGTCCTGGTGCGGAGAAAGGACATCTCGAAGAGATCCTCGAGAAGAAACCCAGGGCCCTGTTCGGTGGTCCATTGGAAGAAATGAGTGATAGCGACACCGTGAAAGCATTTCTAAATGAAAAGGTTGGAAAGAAAGTACCCGTGTTTGAGGGCGACGAAAAAGCATTCTGGGGAATGAGAGTTTACTTATAGCAGGCCATACTATACTATATCTGCATTGCAAGGTCTGTATATATCGTATGTACATCATAAACAATCATCATAATATCGTTACGCAAGAAATTGTGTTTATGAGGGCGTCTTCCCTCCACAATCCGGAATCTTGAGCCCGGGTTTCAGCTTGCGATCTGAATCCATTAGCCCCCATTTATCCTCCCAATTTTCGTCTTTGGTGTTGAATTGGACTTTCCATGGTTCGTCGAATGCCTCGAACCTGGTCTCGTTAGTATATCGTCCAGCGCATGGTGAGAAAAGGGGAAAGGGACATACCAGAAATAATCCGTTCCATTCTCCAACGCTTGACAAACCCAGTCCTCCATGAACTTGTTCATGTTGTCGACAGTCGCAACCGATCCATCACTGTCACTCTTACACTTATTCCCATCCCCACAATCATTTCCTCCACCACTAGGCCATCCAACTTCTGAGATAACCTGCTTCTTATCCGTCCCCTTGGTCAAGGACGCATCATGTCCCGTCCAGAACGTGTATGTCCAGCTTGCAGCTTCCTCGACAGTAACACCCGCGAAAAACGGATGCACGTTCGACATGACCAAATCTGCTTCCTTGGCGAGGTCCTCGTTCCAGTTATCTCCCAAGTCGGAGGTTGCGACGGGGAGGTCAAGGTCGCGTTTCTTGATCTCGTCGCGGACGTCGTTCATGTAGCCGATTAGGTTCTTCTGGGCTTTGGATTTCGTGGAACCCGCGCGGAAGAGGGCTTCGTTCCCGACGATGGCGCCTTTGAAGATGGAGGCATCTTTGGTGTCATCGAGGATCTTATAGAGTTGTTTTATTTGGCGGTCTGTGGTGGTTTGGTTGGATTCGATCCAAACGCCTAACCAGAGGCGCATGTCTTTGAGCTCCAAGCGGTCGATGGCGTGCAGGACCATTTCGGTCTGGTTGCAGTCGGTACCATATAAACGAACAGTGTTGGTGAGCTGTGACAGCACGGCCATGTCGCGGGTGACGTTGTTCTGCGATGGCGGGTACTTCAAGCACAACGGATACTGCACTCCCCAGGGTGTATAGTCCACGCCCGGGAAGACCTTATGCAGGTCTTTGTTGTTCATGAGCTTCTTGATCTCGGAAGAATCCTTGTCAAGGTCACCGTTCTGTTTTGAATCGTCCTGCGCCGAATGAGCCGAGCCTTTCTCTCGCGTTGTGTTCCCCCGATGCCCCAGGATTCCTCCCACAGCACCACCCACAATCGCACCGACCACGATGAACCCCAGCAACAGCCCAACAAGCCAGCCTCTCCTCTTACTCCCCGCCGACCAATGTTTTTGCTCCCCTGCTTCCAGCGCTGCTGCTCCAGCACCAGCACCCGCACCACCCGCAGCACCAGGAACAGGCCCATACTGCGTAGTCTCGGCAGCAGCCTTCTTACTCTTAAACAACCCCCCAAACAAACCGCCCGCGGCCGCACCCCCAGCCGCACCAGCCGCAGCACCCCCGCCCATCCCCCGATTCCCCCGCGGCGGCACAATCCCATCATCCCCATCATCGATGATCTCATCCGGATTCACAAACGGATAATCACCCCCACTATACGCCGAATTCCTCTGATACGGCCCATCACTCATAATCCCCCCAGCAGCAGTCCCGCCCCAAAGCGGCCGCGGCTGCCGCGCCGCCTGTTGTGGCTGCGTCGACTGCGCAGATAATAAATTCTGCGACGATGATTGCCCCGGCGTCGCCTGCCCCGTCTGGCCATACGAGTCCCTAGGTCGAAGCGAATCCGAACTCATCCCAGCTTCCGGCAAGGGTACGAACGGCGGCGAAGGGATGTACGGATTATCAGCGCCGGGCGTGTTGTATCCTCGTTCCGGGGGGCCGACGTAGCCGTCGTCGAGGTCGTTGGTGTGACCATGGCCGTTGGCAACGCCAATCGCAATCCCGCCTATCCCGCCACCTATAGATGATGGGCCCATGTTATCCATTCCGGGCGTTGCGGCTGTGTTTTGTGTTCGCGGGTCTTCTTGGTAGCTTGGTGGTGGTGTTCCGACTGGGGAGATGGGGGAGCCGGGGCCTTCGCGGTCGTCGCCGTTGTTGAAGCTGAATGTTCGGGGCATGGTTGTGATGGAAGAATATAAAACTGGGTGTGTATATAGGTGCGTTAGGAGAGGAGAGAGGAAAGGTTAATGATAAAAAAAGAGGGTGGTTGAGACGGTTTTCGAAACCGGATGGGCCCTGAATCGAAACTGAACCACGGTTCCAGTGTGCCAGCCGCGCCGGAGACAGATATTTTTAAGTGTTTTGCCTTTCAACCGATTGAGGGTCGAGTCGGTTTCAGAAACAATGAAAAAAAAAAAAAAAAAAATAGAAGTACGGCAGAGTGATAATAGGGTATACTCCAGCCGTGAGTATATGTATATAGACCAATGTAGTTGTATGCGACCAATCCAATACAGAAAGAATAGCGAAAAAGCAGCACAAACAAAGAATTGAATAAAATCAAAAAACAGAAAAAGATAAAGAATAAAGTAAAGTGAAAAGAGAAAAGAGAAAGAGAAAAATCAAACCAGCGAAAGACAAAAAGACCAAAGAATAAAAGATCTCCGCATGCGGTCGGTGTGTTTGGCTGTCTCGATGTGGAATGACGGCTGGTGGCCCCGACAACAGCGTGCATACATTATTATTGCTTATCTTGTTCCTACTTCAGACACACTCTATTAGTATATATATTACTGCGAGTTAAGCTCAATGGTGTCTGACTTGTTAATTCTTGTCTCTAGCAATCTCGATATTCCAATGCTACGAGTACTATCTCCCATACTCTGTACAAAGCAGTACTGTGCTGTATTCCACAGTAAAACCTCGTCTTTCCTTTTCGGGAAGCCTACGCAGACCCTGCAAATCGGTGGGGCGGCTATTTTTAGTCTGTACACCTGGACAAGACCCTACAGGGTCCAAGTACATAGTAACAGTAGTAGTGGAGTGCAAGTAGAGAAAAAGAACGAAAATGGCATTATCATTATCCATCAAGCTCATTGTCATCATCATACTAGTCATAAGAACATAAGCATAAAAAAAAAATTAAAATAAAATTAAAATAAAATCAAGAACGACGCCTCCCATACTAATCTCGCACGTCCCATGCTTTTTTTAAGACAATTTTTAGACATCGTAGATCCGTCATTCATCAAGCATAATGGTCGTGCGTACGTAACATATCATATCATCAGTCAAATCAGGTCATTCCAAGTGCAGAGGCAAATGCAAATGCAGGTTAAGCCTCGACCTCTTCCGCACTGCGTCGGGATGCATTCATTCTCGAAGCGGGAGTCGTCTTCCGCTTCCTTCGCTCGAGGAAACGTCGTTTACCAGTCCGCGTCTCGAGATGCTCGGGAATCGACGCCGGATCCTGGCCTGCGCCTAGCATGGCGCTTCGCGTTTTGTTGCGGTACATATCCACTGCCACATGTCAGTCACCTGTCAGGAACAAAGGGAAGTATGCGAGGGGCCTAGGAACGCACATGATTTCTGCAGAAATACCATTCGTCCCACAAAAGTCCGACTCTGGCACCATGTCATCCGGTATCCCAAATCATTCAATATCGCATCCTTCCGGTGCCGTCGCTTCGACATCCGCGGCACAATCGCATCATTCTCTCCACCCAGCGATGGCGCAGGCACCGTGACCCGTCCGACAGTCGCGGCCTCATCATCCGCCTCTGCCTCTGCCGCATCATCTCTGAAGTACCTCTTCCCCGGAACAGTTAGACCAGGCGGGTTCTTCAAATGCACGGGGAAGTATGACCGCGGGTAAACCGAGTGCGTCATCCGGTACGAGTCGGGCAACTCGTCCATTTTGGCCTGGTCGAGGTTGACCTTAACGCGCACTCGACTTTCTCCACGGTGGGGATCGGGAACGAGTATAAACTTGCGCGGTTTGCCGGCGGGCTGGGTCCCGAAGAGCTCGTCCTTGCTTGGTTGGTACTCCTCGTCCTCGTCAACTTCGTCTGGTCGGGCTGCTGGTGCGGCAGTGCTAGTTGCGACGGTCGGGGGTCGGCCCATGGTGCTAAGTCCGCTTTCTCGTAGGAGGGGAGGCATTGAGGGACCTGCTCGGGCGCTGGAGGCAGGTGATGGGTAAGTTGGGTAGCCGTGGAAGACCTGCGCTGGTCGGAGTTCTGTTGCTGCTGTAGTTGGCCGGGGGCCTTCGGTGACAGATGGACGATGAGAAGCGTTCGGAAACTCAGAGGTGCCTATTATGTATAGAAAGGATGATATATAACAATTAGCCTACGCTGTAAGACAACGAGAAGGAACGGTTTTCGACGCCAGAACAGCAAAGGATCGCAAACATGGGGAATTCCCAACACACAAAAGGGTATGAAGTCAATATCAACACAACGAAGGAGAAAAAAGAACGAAGGCCATCCACAAACCGCATAAAAATACATCAAGTACATCTTCCAACGGTGCAAAAGACAAGGCAAATCCACAACCCCATCGGGGCAAGGGCAAGGCATTATACAAAAACATAGAGAGAAAAAAAAAAAAAAAAAAAAAAAAAAAAAGTTTACAGGAGAATTATAAGGTCACTCCCCGTACAAAGGGAGGGGCAGCAATATTATATGCGATGGAACATACCGCTGACTTCCTCGTGGATTGGACTACCATCAGGTCGAGCATGGTGATGATGGTGCAACTGTGGAGGGCCCATGGCCAACCCACCACCATACCCCGGTCGTGCGGCGCTAGGCGGCGACATGCCTACGCTAGGCAAGTTGGGAGTGAGAGGAGTTCCGGCAGCCATGTGGATAGGTGCCTGAGGAGCAACAGTCTGCCGTCGTGTAATCTTGGCCTGCCTTCGCACTCGCCGGCTGCGCAGTCGCGGGTCTTGATTGCTATTTCGCCAACTGTCGACGGCGCGTTGGATAAGGCCGCGTTTACCTCGTAAGCTCGGGTTAAGCTGGGCCAAAGCCCACCCCACAGCATTGCACTCGGTTTCGTAGACCAACCGATTGCCCTGGTATTGGTCCTTGCTGCAGCACGCCCGTGGATAGACGCAGTTCTCCGACTTGAACCCTGCGCTGAGGCTGTCCACGTTGACAGATTCTACATCGCATCGGATGGTGTATTCCATCTTGACGCGATCGCGAGAATACTCAAATGCAATCCATTGCACCCCGGTGGAATCTTGCCGTACAACTAGCGGCGTGGTTGCCGGAATAGGACCGGGTGCGGCGCTGGAGCTGGTCCCCATGGTAGGGCTCGTATGAGACACTGAAGCCGGGGCACTCACGGTGGTGGTAACAGTTGGTGCTGTGGTCACCGGATGAGAAGCATTCAAGACGGACCTCTGCGGCGGCGTATGCTGCTGCTGCGGTGCAGCCGTAGTCGGGCTGATGGGAGCGGCCGTCGATGGCGGATGAGGCATCTGCGTGGAGGGTGCCTGATGGGGTGGCATCATCAACGGCTGGGTTGTGAGAGAATGGGACTGAGGCGATGGATGCGCCGTGTACGGTGACGGTTGAACTGTGTTCAACGCCGGATAAGGCTGGTATCCGTATACTTGGTGAGCCATCTGGGGCGACTGGGCGTAGATAGTTCGTTGATCGTGTGGTTGAGAGGCTACCGATGCTGGCGAGCTTGATTGTGGTGTATGGTAGATGGGAGGATAGGGCCTCTGCATCTGCGTGGTGGCTGCCATAATCTCCGGAGGTCCTGGGATTGTCAGCTCGACTGACCAACGAAGGAGTTCTCAATCACACCGAGGTGCTTGGGGGAATAACCGTGACCAACAAAGAAAAGATAGCCCACTAACCACTAGAAGAATACTGGCTGGAGGCGCTAGCCGCGGTGTAAGCGGGATGCGACGCGTAGTACGAGGATTCCTGGGGAGGCGGTCCGTAGGGCGAATGGGGAATACCGTTGGACAACGAATGCGAGGCGTAGGTAGTAGGAGGGATAGTAGTAGGCGGTTGATGAGGGGAGCTTGGACGGTGGGTTTGATGCTGGAGAAGGGCTGAACGAGGGTGGTGGAGTTGAGGATGTCCGGATCGAAGCTGCCATTCGTTAATGTCTTCTTCCCATTATGATAGAATGGTGAAAGCAATGTGCTATGAACAGTAAACGCGGACTCCCGCCTACACGAGGGAATAATCGATATCAAATCTGCTTCGGGACCATACATGTTTGATGCATACAAAAAGCGAGCACGAGTCAGGGAGACAAAGGTAACATAATAATAAACACCCTGTCCGTATCCCCGTCGACTGGGGTACGAGACTGGGATATTCGGATGCTGAGACGGGACCAAGAATGAAAGAAAGAACAAAAAGAGACTTACAGGGTTTTCAATGGGGTCGTCCTTGTATTTCACCACCGAGGAAGAAGGCCCGAGGTCAGCCTGGACCATGCTAGTCATGACTGACCGTTGAGTATTAAATATGGTTAGAAAGTCAGAGAAGCTTAGCTCCAACGCCAGGGACTAGGAATCGGAGAAAAAAACGGCTGCGAGTGCTGTTGGAGGGTCCAGGATGTTTGATATTTAGGAATCGGCTGCACTCATTCTGGGATGTGAACGAGTGGAAAGGATGAGACCAGGGAGGATCCTGGAAAGGAGAATTAAAAGAGAAGAAAGAGAAACGGAACGAGGGTAAGAAGAACAGAAGAAAGAGAATGGAAAGAAGAGAGAAAGAGAAAGAAAGAAAGAAAGAAAGAAAGAAAGAAAGAAAGAAAAAAAGGCACCGAGAAAGCGAGAGAAAGAATCGATAGCAATTGAACAGTTAGTGGAGAGGGAGAATAAAGAGATTGAGCTTGCAACTAGCGGCAAGTGGTGTAATCTCGACCAGGATGGATGCAGAAAATCGCAAAATTGTGACAGGAGATTTTTTATTATTTTATTTTATTTTGTTGAATTAAGAAGACAGAAAAGAGAGAAGCCGGGGGAACAGAACACAGTATGATGTGCATAACAACAAGTGCGTGGAAGAGATGGGGCAATCAGACTGGTCGAATATACAAGACCTTTTTCTTTTTTCTTTTTTTTTCTTTTTTTTTTTTTCTCCCACTGTCCGGGCCGTTTACCGAAGGGTGGAGAGAGGGAGAGAGAGTGCCATCGAGGACAAAGAGACAGCTTCTGGTCCAAGGGTTGACTGGAAGGAAACCATGAAGATTGTAATCTCTTTAGCGGAGGGCAGGAATGCATAAGATTGGCTACCATACTTGAATTGCTGATATCTTGACAGAGGAGAGATACTTTTCTAGTGTATGTCCAGGTACTTTGTCGCGCCTAGTGGACTCCATACTGTCCAGCGTACCTGTACATACTCCGAGTACTTCGATGTACTCTGACAGCTCCACTGCCTGTGCGGTATCCGGGGATCGGCGCTGTCCTTTGCCAACCTTGGTCCGGGCGATATTACAATACCATACAGTACTCGGATGTTTGCCATGGTCAGCTCGGCTCAGCTGCACCAGTGCCAAGTCTAGCTCTGTCCAATGAGAGATGGCTATTGTGGTCTGGGCCAATCAATGCGGGGAAGGCTTTTTTCTCCTCATCTAAATAAACTTGAAACCACTAACGGGTGTGTCAATACGTATTGTATTGTATACGGAACAATCTTACCTGACTGCACAAAGACAAATATTATTTAATCCCTGTCAGCTGTGTAACCCTCCTTTTTCATTTCCCGAAATGGCAAATCTTCAGCATGTTTGCTACAGAACCATCCTATCGAGTCGCAGCACTCTGTACTAGTTTCAGTGAGTTGATTCACCACAATCGCCCGTTGGTTGGTTGAACTCCACTTCGCTGTGCCCGATGCACGGCCGGTATGGTGGGGCGGAGATAAAGACCAGAAATACCCATCCAGCCACAGGCCAGTCAAGTCAAGCAAACTTTGAAGCAAACTGGAAAACTCCGGAGAGTTCCGTTGCGTGTTATCCTCCGTAGAGTGTCATAATAGTACGGAGTACTGTGTCCTGTAGGCACGCGGACTACTGTCCTCCAGCAAGACCAGTTGAAAGTACGGCATACCTACTCTGTAGAAGCCGTTGAATAACTATCGCCTATCGTCGTAATCAACAAGCAAAGACTGCGCCGCTTACACCATAGCGTCCGGGTATTGTGATCGATGCAGGGTCACTGGCATTTCGGAGACGGGGCCGAATGCCCTGCCCCTGGGCGGATCAACCCTATCGAGATAGGACTAGTGCTCCATCCTGTCAGTTTGCTTTACGCTGCTACTAGTAAGGAGTACTGTACAGATTGCGTCAAGTGCTCCGTACTCTGGGTGCATACTCGGTACATATTCCACCGGCAAACTGCATTAATCCTCCGATTCCCCATCGACCGCACTCTACCAGGGGTACTCCGTACAAACTTGTTCGTTACTTGTAAAAGCACCGTATGGAGAACATGTGATCTGAGCCCAAAACTTAAACCGGCCCCACCATCCGAACCCGAGATCCACAGAACAAGCACTCCGGAGTAAAGGTAGGAGTCTGAGACCGTTGGCACTGCACTTGCTTCCTACTTTACGCAAAAGGTAGCTAACAACTAGCTACGGAATATTCCGTACGCTACGTAACTAGCTTAGCTATCTATATGTACTTTGGAGCAACCGCACGAGCGGGCGTGCATAGCCGAGTCTACTCTAGAGGACACTTATGTACGGAGTATCCCGTACGGAGGAATATGTTTGCTCTTAGCCCTCATGCACTCTCCATAATTGAACTAAGACTAACTAGGATATGATAGGAAAGAAAACCGTTGGCTAACGCTCTAGGCCCAGCAAACATTATTCATCGCATACTGAGTAGTTATTGTAGGCAGCTAGTTTGCCTACTATTACTATGTACTCCGTCCGTCCGTACTCGTACTCTTTCCTCTATGCCGCAGTCATGTTTGCCATGTCAGATTGGAAATTGAAATGAATTACTCACTGATACAGCATAAAAAGTAAAAAACAATAAGCAGAGAGTAATAGTAATGTAAAATAAATACCGCATAGTAAGCGCTGCTATTGCTTTGATTACGGTGTAATACTATTATTATGCTGTCGTACTCGTGCTACCTCGATAATACTCCATACGGAGAAGTCTGGAGTGTTGCACGATCAACATGTGACAGTGATTGATCATGGATCATGTCCATCTTCTGGTATTATCTGCTGCGCCGTACGGAGTCTGGGGGGATACGATTACTCGTTAATTCAACGCACTTCTTCTATGACAGCTATAGGTCACATTCAATTTAATATTCTCCTGAATGATTACATGTACGACATGAGCCGACTTGGATTGGGTGGTACAAGCTGACTATTATTGTCGTCTCTCTTGGAGGGATTGTGCTACGGTTTCTTTGTTGGATGCAGATGATAGGACTGTGGCAATCAATCATAATCATGAATTCATAATTGGTTTATTCATGGTCCAGGTGAGGTTTTTTCTGTTGATTCGATGGCAGCGCATGTTGTTCCCTGTCCTCATCCTCATCGTCGCTATCCTCGCTATCCGCGCTATCTTCGCTATCCGCGCTCACTTCCTCTCCCGACCGTCGACGCTCCTCCCTCTTACTCCGTCGTTGCTCGCGGTATTCTCGGTATTTCCGAGCTCGCTCACCTGACCAGTCTGGTTAGCCTCGTATGAGAAACAGGGGGGGAAGGTTTCCCTTACTTCGAATCTCATGCGTCCTAATGGCATACGCTTGGATTTCCTCCTTCGTCAGCACCCGCAACACAAACACACAGTCGGGCTGCTCGTCCGTGATCGAGAACCGATCTTTCCCCTCCAGGGCCTCCGGATTGACCAGCCGGCGGTCAATTCTGGTCCAACGTGCGTCCAGGGGAATGCCCTTCTTCTGAGCATCGTCTTTCAGGGGTGCCACGCCCGGCCGCACCGGGTTCGGGTCTTCCGGGAATTTCTCCCGCGGGGGCTTCAAGATGCCTTTGATCTGTGGCTCTGACTCCGTTGGCTTCTTGAAGTCCTCCTGGCTGCTGCTCGAGACATGTCGGCTGGAGTGGCGGCCCTCTGGCATATGGGTCCGCGAGCGTGAAGTCTTGCGCGAACGTGGTGCTTTGATCGCCAAGGGCTGAGATCCGTTATCCGACGGTGATTCACCACGAGCGGGCGACTCACGCTGGTATGCACGGAGGTCATCTTCAGAAGTATAGGGATCCGCGTCGGTCTCGTGCCGTCTAGACGGCCGACCGGATCGACCATGATGTCTAGTGTGGTCATATCCGTAAGGGTAGTCGGCCCAGTCACTTTCGTAGCCGCTAGCGAGAACCGCTGTGCCCAGGCCGGCCCCAGTGCCTGCCACCGATCCACTAGCAGAGTCAGTGCGACTGTGGCCCCTCGATGATCGGTAGTCATCATCGCGGCTGTCGTGACGGTGATGACGATGGCGTCGACGACGGTGGCGATGGCCGTCATGGTGGCCGTCATAATGGCCATCATCGTAGTGACCATCTCGGTAAGAGGAATGGTAGCCATCGTCCCAATCCTGGTGCAAGGCTACTGGAGCCCCATGGGACGCTCGTAAGCCGGTCGACTCGAGGTCGTTATCGTAGGTTGAACGCCAGGTTCGCCCTTCCAACTTGTCAAACCCTCTCTGCGATGGAGGGGGCCCGTGAGGACGTGATTCATTCTTCAATGATGACGGTATATAGTGGCCCTCCACCCCGGTCAAGCTTAGAGGGCGGCTGTGGCGGTGGGCCCCACGACCGCGGTTCAGGCGATCCATCCGGTCATTTTCCATCTGCTCTTGGGTAGTGTAGGAGTAAGAACCCCAGTCGGCGAAGTCCCCTTGACGAAGACTTTCCACAGTAGGGTACCTTGGTCGACTACTGCGCTCGCCGTGATATCCCCCGTGTCTTCTCCGCGGCCGGGCCAGCCGGCTAGCATCATTTGTATAGTACAAGCGACGATGTGAATGACGGGGCGATGCTGGTACCAGATACCCCTGGTCCGAGGTCCAAGGACTGGAGGACCGACCATAACTCGGCGTGACGATAGGAGAAGCTCTGTTCTGTACGTTGGGGGACACGGTGGCTCTCAACGGAGGAGGATGACGACCATCCACAGCAGAGGTGCTGCTCCGCTGGCGGGGACGGATGGCATATTCAGTCCGCAATTTAGAGGTGGACTGGTCCGGGCTTCGATAGGAGGAAGAGGAGACGGGGTGAGCCTCGAGTCGGGATCGGCTTAATCGAGGATCATAGGAATTTGAGTAAGGGATATCTGCGGTGGATTGGCTGCTACTGCGTCCGTGGCGACTGGTAGAAGGATCGTAGGACTCGTTGTAGGATGCGCTGGGCTGCATTGTTCCGGTGGACGCCCGCATCGGATCGATCACACGCTTGTCGGGGGGCGACATGGCCCGAGGACGCGGAGACGAACCCATAATGGACCCTGGTTTTCTTGCAGGGAACGGCTGCAGCTGCACGTGTTGGATTGGATTTGGTTACTCGAGCACTGCAGTAGTTGGGAGGTTGTAGAGGTAGTTCAAGTAAATAGAAAAGACGTTGACATCGTGGCACTGAATGCGATGGATTTGACAACAGTTATATATGGGCACTGGGCAAACAACAGCCCGACAAAGTGAGGCGAAGAATTCAAAGGAGACAAGAAATAAAAAAGGAGAAAAAGAAAAAAAGATGATGTGCAGGGCACAAATATAATGGAATGTCGGGCAATCGATGGTCGAGATGAGGTTGCGTCAAGAGAGTTCGGGGGGCAAAAAGAGGCTCAACTCAGACTCGGCACAAAGACCAAGGCTTATGGAAAGTCAAGAAATCAAAGGAACCGGCCTTCTTTCTCTTGCTTTCTGTAAAATTGTACAAGATTTGTAGATGGCAACGGTGATAAATAAATGTACACAGTGACGCAACGCGAGGGATTTCCTCTACTTTTCTTTTTTTTCTTTTTCCTTCTCGAATTGTTCTTTGCGCCTTCGAAACCCCAGAGGCCTCAACTGCTTCCGGACCTTTGCTTCCAGCGTTTGAGGTAAGAATATCCCGAGACAAACAAGACTCGCTTTGCTATATAGCAATTATATACTAAACAACAACAATAATCCATGGACCGCCGGTGTCGCTCGGCTGGAATCCGTCCCCTCCCCATCCACGGATCGCATACTGCGTCTTCCGCAACTCTATCGGCACGTTTCTTCATGCAATCATGCAACAACAAATAGTAATGCAAGTCAGTAACCGGTGGTTTCAAAGCAATTCGATCCCCACTGCCCCTGTCCAGTTACTCTAACTTCTTTTCGATTCCTACTCTACAATAATTTTTCTGTAGTATTCCGGAACATTGCAACGTGAGGACACGGGGAGACTCTTGAATCGCAGGCAACTCTTTCTCCGGAGTACTCCGTACCCGGGAGTCTTCCGGATGTTCCACTCCTAAAAGGGTACAAGTACACGACGGTAGTACTCTTTGTATGCGATCCCGTCTATAATCCTGCCGACAGAGTCATATTTGTGAAGGACAAAGAACAACAATGACATCACTGGGTAATATCGCGGGCAAAAGGAGCCCTCTGGAGGTACAGGTGGGGTGGTAGATGACTTGATGTGTTCCCAAAACGGAGAGCACATACGGGAAATGCCCATTGTACGCCTATCGCGGACATTGGAAAGAAGTTTAACCAAATTTACGGATATGCAGCCTTGCCGTTTACTGCCCATCAATCACTCCACCGCAAACTCTGCAAAGCTGTCTCTAGCAATTCCTTGGGAACGAACGAACCACTCATTCTACAAGACGTGGCAATCGGGATTGATGCTAAATGATCCCATCGACTTTTCTCTGATCGTCTCAGAGAAATCATTGAAACGGCCGGCCCGAAATGTTGACATGCCCCGCGGTGTTGTACTTGTGCCCGAAGCTCCGAGGCAACTCCGTGCTTGATGGAGTACATGGAGCAAGTCTTTGTTATGACTTTATCCACTTCTGTTATTGTTTTTCCTCCTTCACCGGAGCAACCAATCAGGTAAAAAGATGTCTGCTTTTGATGCATTTGCTTCCCTCCGTCCGCCCGAAGCACGGTTTCCATCTCGCGAGTCAGTTAGCATACGGACATGGCATTCCGCCAGAGACAATAGCAAGCGGCCAGTCCTAGAAGTGAATATCGGAGATCATGAGTATGAGGGGCACCTCTTCAACGCCGTTACTGCTTCATATATATGGATAGTTTTGTCTGAAAAGGGGGGGCACGAAAATCATGGATATTGCTTCCGGTATCAGTGCATATGTCAGCACTATATCTCAACAGTTATGCTTCGTACAACGATGCTGAATGCAGTTTATCCTACGAAGAATCGCAAACAACATGCATCAGATCCCCGACTTTATCGCTCTTCTCCGTGTCTCTTTCTGTCTCACGGTCAGAATACGAACACACCGGGCCTCATTGCCCTTTCACCCTGACTCTTGCCCTCACCCTCACCCTCACATCCAGCCGCATCCCATACCATCAAACCCCGAATCCAATGCAAGCCCACAGGTAGAAACCACCAGACCCTCCTCCCTCTGCCAAAAGCAAATAATGGCAGATTAATATCCGATACGCTAGATCTATCGGAGCATATGCACGGGAAATGGGATAATCGATGCATCCATTCCTGCATACTTGTAGGGATGCATGATATCTCTGCTCTTTTTGCCTAAGTTCTATGCACATGTATGTATGATATACGTAGTATTGAGGGTCCTGTGACTATGTGAAGGGTTAGAAAATTGGCTACCTGATGGATAAACCCCAGGCAACCATACGAGTACGACCAGGCATAACTATATGGAATAATTCTGGTTGACTGACTTATTATGACAAGCTGATGGCCATTCAGACGTGCAGCTACAAATTTGATTTAATTGTATGACTATGATTATTGTATATATATGCATCAAGACAAACAAACAACGTGGCGAGAGCGGATAAAAAGGAATCCAAGGGAATGGAGAAATAAGATGATAAAAGAAAAAAAAAAAAAAAGAAAAAAGAAAAAAAGAAAACACAAGACAGCAAATGCTCTCTGCCTAATTGTTTTACTGACTACCCTTCAGGTTGACATTATTATAACATCGGTTCTGTCTGAGGTGTACAAGCAGGGTATATATATGAAGTAATGTAGTTGAAGAGTTGGATAAATTTAATCACTCCACATCCACATCTCCAACGAAGAGTCAAACAATAAATACCAATTTAGCCGAGTCTCAAAGTCCTCGCTCGATAGTGAGAAACAAACCACTTAGTCCCGGATGGAATCCACAATGCCAACAACGATATCGACATTGATCCCGCCTCCACCAGAATCTCATACCCCTCTTCAACGTCCTCAACCTCAACACAGAAGCAATATCCGACGAAATGCCACCGCATCTAGACGACCGGCGACGCTACAGTCCAATAACAGACACAAGCGATGTGGCGCACTCGACGAACATGATCATCCCGTCAATATGGTACGGCCGTCGCTGGCCGGGTGGTGGGTTTGTTGCACTTGCCAGGGGATGAACAACCCTCATTTGTGCCCGGAGAGATGTTCGCTATGTTCTCATGAACAGTGCGAGGGTTGCGTTACTCTCCCTTGATGGGATTTGGTCTGGTCGTGTTTTGTTTTGGGGAAATATCATGAACATTTGTATCCTGAAGACCAATTCAAAGTTTGAAATTAAAACTTGATAAAGTAATGAATATGCAAAGAATCTGGTACTGAGAGGTATAACCAAAGGATAAAAGACAACTCCATGTACTCCACTCCATGCCAATAGGCCTTGCGCGCTTGAAAATCGAATGACAAAACAATGCAACAAGTTATTTGCAAGCTGAAGATATATTTCCGGATCGCTCAAGTATTAGTGACGCCGTCGGCTTTTCCCTCGTTTTCGGTGATGCCTTGATCGTCTGTTGCCTGATTCAGAGCCCTCTCCTTCAGCAGATGCCTCAAGACCGGCTTCCTTTTTTAGACGAGTCACGACGGGTCCAAGGACGAATGCGCTTTCTAGGCTGCCATGATCCGCGCAAGGACTGTGCTTGAGTGGGAGCAGCCAGTCGAAGATGGTGTATCCCAGTACTTGCTGAAGGTTCCTGAGAGGACTGCCCAAGTCAAACGGATTCTCTCCAGGCAATGTCTGGAGAATGGCAAAAACATGGCGCTCTCCGGTCGTCGGGTCTGCCGGAGGTGGAGCGGCCTGTGGCCCTGAGGGGACGGGCTGCAGGGGGTACGTAATAGTACGGTACGTCGGAGCCCACTGTGTGCTGAGCTTGTTCAAAATATGGTCCGGTATACGGATAGCCAACGTCCAAACAGCAGATCGACGGTTGAGGTTCTCAATCGTTGAAAGATTCAGCATGGCAAGCTGAAGAGAGCTGATAGTCATTCCAAAAGTGAATAAACAAAACAAGCCACCCCTACACAATATTAGACAGATCGCCGGTAGACCGAGCAGAAATCGAGGACTTACAATCCAATACCAACCGCCCAGTGAGGATTCGCTCGACCTTCCTCTCTTTTCAACTCAGCAGTAAACACTGCGCAGACAATAAGAGCGAATGTACAGAATATGAACGTGTAAAAGACGAATTGAATAAAGAACTTGAACGATGTCTCGGAGACCACACCTCCAACCCTTCTAATGGTCAGCGTCCACTGATAGTAGCAGAGAGACGGGGGGAACATACCAAGGACAAAAGTGGTCCATCTTACGGACACATCGGTCTACTTCGCGACAATGATGCGCTCTGTCCGTCTTGAATTGGCAACAGGTAGAACAATATGACGGCCTCCCATCGGGCTGACAGATAAACACGTCCTTGGTGTAGAAACTCTCAAGGCCCCCCGTGTTCAGGGGATACGCCTTCCCCCCAGCGGCATAATCCAACCCCCCTTCGACATCCGGGTCCATGTCATTTCTGTCGGTCTTCTCAGTTGTCCTCCCGCGTGACCGACTGCTCCTCCTCCTCCGGTGTTTGCGATGATGTCGGTTCGAAGATCGGGAACCATTATCGTCCTGATCCTCAATGGACGGCGCGCCCCGCGGAAGGAAGCCGGGGTTCCAGGCGACATTGTAAAAGAGCCGCAAGTAAGTTACGAGTACCGGTATGAGCAATACATAGAAAACGGCGATAATAGCGGCACCAGCGCCGACCCGGGGACTTCGATTGTAATGGTGCGGGATAGGATCAATCAGATAATCGACTTTTGGGTTCCATGTGATTAGTCCAAAAAGCGGCCCGGTAGGATAACTCCGATGCAAGAGCAGAGACGATATGACTTACTGCATAGTTGCTTGGTGACAGCGTAGCAGGCGTAAATCACGATGCCTAACAGGATGGGAGGAATGATTTTGGCAACCGCGAGGTTGACACGCCTGTCCGGGCCAGCCGCCGCCATGGGCAATGGTTAAACTAGGCTGCAATTCTTCGAAGAGGAAGCATTCGCATAAACTGTTCATGAACCGAACAGGAAAAATTAGACGAAATATGACGCAAAAAAGGGGAATGAGTGTGTAAAAATGTCGCATCCACTGCCATACGCGACAGAGCCAGCAAGGCTAACTCGGGGGGTAGTCCAAGGTTGACTGACGGGCGTCGTCGCATTGATCAGGAACAAACGCTGATACGGAGTAGGTGCAAACAGCACAAACAGCTTCACGAAGACGTCACGAGTAGGGGGCTTATGCTTGGGCATTAACACATTCTTACTAATGGAATACTGCATAAAATCACATGACGTAACCCTAACCCTGATTTAGTCGAACTCTTTCGGGACCGCGTTTGAGATTTGTTTTTCACGCTCGACCGACTCTATCTTAATGTTTCTTCCAATGACCATGTATCAATTTTCGTTCCTGTCAAATTGATAACCGTTGTTGATACTCAAAAATTTCAACCGATTTTCTCTTCAGCGGACAAAAAATTGGACAAATTTACAAAGGCGGTCGGTTGAGCGGCATAATACGAACCAGGGCATAATTTACGGTAATAAAAAAAAGTGCTCCTGGTCGGGCTCGAACCGACAACCTTGAGAAGTCCTCAATCATAGTACATCACGTTTTGTGAGTGTTCTATAAGACTCATGCGCTAACCAATTGCGCCACAGGAGCTACATTTCAACTTATTGTAAGCATTTTGAAATGTTGTACGGAATTCACTTAGTCGACCCACTTTATTCACATTCTCGAATACATTTTCTTTTCTTTCTTTTACCAGGGCATGAGAACACATCTTACTTTACTCCGTACTATAATTGGTATTTCGTCCAGCCTCGCAGCGTATAGATTTATTAATAGCCTTGAGTATGTATGATAATGAGCTGGTTGCTGTAAGACGCGATGAACCCGTTATCGTCCAGGAACAGACTGACATCTGACATCTGAGACAAGCGAATAAGCATACTGGGGCTATTATTGTTCCCCATGATGCCAATTTTGTATAGCATATTTTCAGCTGTCGTGAGCACAAGAGAATACTCAATTTGAAACGGATGGATTACCAGGAGCAAACCGGGGGGGGGTGAAGACCTGTGGCTGAGTAGGAAAATGTTCTCTTAGGTTAGATGAAACATGGAGAGAGTGAGTAATAATTCCAGAGTCGGGGACCCCAAAACAGTAAAACGTGTACTTTGTACTTATCGAAATAGATGGCTTAGGCAGCGATCACCTGATCTGCGATGCGCGTTGATGTCGTCGGTAGGCGAGTTCGTATACTCACGGGATGTCCGACTGATTCACACCTCGAAGGATTCTCTCGATCCATTCAGCGTTCAAGATTCTAACAGATTTGAAGATCTTCAGCTCATGTCGATGACTCCTTTTCTCTCTTTTTGTTCTCTAGTCTTCTGTTCGCGACGATGAGGGCCGGTTGTCTGCCTGCGATTTGTGGCTGTTAAGTGGAGACCCGCCGGTTCACACGAGGTCGAGGCTCTGACAAGGCATTAACCACCCACAGAACTCCTGCAATATGCAATAATGAACAACCACTATGGAGCGTTAAAAAAAAAAAAAAAAATAAATAAATAAATATCAACGTTCTAAACGGTTTAAACGGATAATCCTGAAATGACATAGTGGCCCCCCCTGTTATTTTCGCTCTCGGGCAACGTGACCGGGCATAATGACGATGATGACAGCAAGAACCACGCTGACTATGGGCAAATGTCCAAGCCTTGTGCCTTGTGGATACCGCCTTTTCCACGGTGTTTCAGTGTATCTTACTATGGGTTTGACTCAACCTGCCTGACAATTTTGGCGGTGATCCTGTCTATGATTCAGGAACTCCTGTGGTATTCTAGACACACCCACTCTTCCTACTGGGGCTCACTCAGGGCAAGGGCGATGACCCGCAAAGCCTCTTTGGACTACCAATTGCCCGGACCCCCCTACGAGGGACCAATGGAAGATCGTTCTGATGGGACCCAATGTCAACGGTTGTATGGGGCTTGGATGCCTGCGCATTACTGCCTAGGTGACTGACAGAGTTGACCTTGAGGATGCCTCAATATTATTTAAACCACCTCAATTCCTTCTCATGTCTCTTGTTCTTCATCTCAATCACAATCACACAACAAGAAAGCTTCATTGACTACTTATATCTGCTATTCCCGAGCAATTCCAACGCCTTTTCCACCATTTCAGCCTTCTACCCAAGTCCGCAAAGTCAACAGACGATCCCCGTCATGTCTTACGCCTGGTATTGCTGCGAATGCCAGTTCGGCCCTCACAGCATTGAGTTTCACAACACTTGCATCGAATGCGGTACTATGCGCTGCGACGACTGCTACCTTGAGGTCAACACCTCAGACTACAACACAACGCACAGCTGCTCTCACGAATTGCCCGCCTACCCGTCTACTCCTGTTCAGAGCTGCACCGGAACATCATTAAGTCAACTACGCACAATGGCGCCCATCACAAACAACACGACCTTTACCCCGGGCCTCTCGCTCGCCCAAGGTCTCAGCTCAGGAGGCCACTCCGGAATCAAAAACTATGGCGCAACCTACATGTATTTCTGCTGCCAATGCAATGACGGACCCAAGGTGTACAACGTCCAGCCACGCTGTGTGATGTGCAACCATGTTGCTTGCGGCCATTGCATACCAGCAGGCAAGTAATTTGAAACGGCAGGCCTCGTGTTCAGTGAAGAACAGGTAAGCATCGCGATTCGTCCTTGAATGAGAACTTTGACAAAAAGGAAGAAGGAAAGTTAACGCTTCTGACCTGCAGGATTTCTGCTGCGCCTGATGGCTTAAACGATATGTTTTGACTACTTTTGTGTTATTACCGGACTGGTTCCTTCTCACGATACGACGAATACGGCACGAGCATAGACGCACTTGCGTCTGGGAGTTTGGAATTTCTTTATCTTTTCTTTCTATTTTTGACGTCTTGGGATTGCACGGGTTCATTTGAGCGATAGAATTGTTTTGTTTATTCTGTTCTAGTTTCTGTTTTCTTTTCGGCTTTTCTCGGTTTTATGCTTTCTTTTCGCATTTACCACCAACAAACAACAAATGGGGCTGAGATACAGCCACCGCAATAATAATCACCACTGTCACGAGAATGATTGCTATGTTTATGCTATAATGCATGTATTTTTGACTATTGACTCAATATTTTTTTCCATTAAAAGAAATCCGTAGAAATCCATCCTCCGTAGACGTCGTCAGTAGAAAGAGCCGCATCCCATCCTAATCCAGCTACCTGCATACACTACTATGCACACATAGCACAGTAGTGCATACATAGATTAAATCGAATCCCAGCCGCATTTCTCCTAAATTCCCGGCCGTCGATCGAAATGTTTCTGACTTATTATCCACCGCCCTTTCTGGCGGGTGTGGCTGTCAGATACACAGCGAACTTGCGGTACATTCGCTTACTTCCTTTGACTTGTTGATTTACTATACATACTTTTTTTGTTCGTGTTCTCGTGTTTACTGGGTAAACTAGCTAGGTAGCTAATAGTCACTGGGAGAATTCTATGTCATCATCGGGCGTTTTTTTTTTTTTTCGAGTATACGGGGTGGGCTGTGTATGTGCTGTAGCGCCCAGTATACAAAACGGGTAGGAGTATACTAGCTTAGCCGAGTCCTTGCTATGCTAACTTACTACATATGTTGTTATGCGATTATTTTCTTTTGGCCCTTTTTGAAATTAATAATCAATAGCCTATTAATATTAATATCATCAATGATAATAGTAGTATTATTATTATTTCGCGCGTTGCACGATGCCATGTTTCAAAGTCAGCCTTACGGCGGTGACTTGTGGCTTACTTACTATTAAGCGCCCGACTAGTTATGTAATGAACCGGTGAATCATCGGTGATCAGATTGCTATTATTATCTTAAAAGTAAATCCGGAGTATATCATAGTCTGGGGGCCAAATAAACAGAAATAAACCCCTGTTGATCCCGTGGAGTCTTTTGTCTCTTCAATGCGCGCATCCATAACACATCGTAGTACACTGCCCCAATCCTCGATAGCGGTCCAAGGGGGGTTACACGGTTGAATGCACCAGAGACTCCAAATAGCATTTACACCAGTGATGCTTATACGAAACGACGATGATGGTTTCAAGATTGGAGCCTGCACCTTGCTATATCTTTACGGGCAGAATGTATAGTTTTGAGAAAAGCAGTAATCGAACATGTTGATACATTTCACCACTATTGCTATGTACCCTAGATTCCATACGCCATGCTGTACAATCCTTTTTTTGCTCCGGCCGAGCATAGTAGTTATACACTATAGCATTATCCTATGGTCGATAGAATTGTCGACGCTGCTCCGAAATTCTTCTTTTCTTCTTTTCTTTTTCTTTATTTCCCGTCGGTTCTCTCTTTCTGCCGTGTACCAACTTTTATGCCCAGTAGCAAAAGGTCGATAAACAGTGTAATTATCCATGACCCAAAGGAAGAAACGCCGCGCTTGCTAATATGTAGAGTCGAAGAAAAAATGCTTCGTTCCAGTAATGAACGAGCCAGGTGTGTCATAAATGGAGAGGCGTTCGAAAAGAAAAGAACAAGGCAAAAAAGAAGAAAAAAAGTTGCTTATGATGTTATGACAACATCAAAAAGACGTGGTAGTCTGATAAGTCGACTGTCGGCACACAAAGAGCTCTTCGTGCCCATGAGCAGCGTCAAGTCATTGACTTCAGACAACAGTGTCAACAGCTCACCTTCATGGATAGGATGAAGCAAAAACTCAGCTAATCAGTCGTCGAAGAACCCGAATATCGTAAATCGAAGCCTGTTACAAGGGCAGGACCCGCGTTGGATCGTGAAGGAAGCGTCTACGGTATGCGGCAATTTCTGTCGCCACGGTGTTAAAGTCTTTCACCTTGTCACGCCGCATGTCATTGATGATTTGCTTCAGGCCAGCAATGTACTGGTCTTTCTCCTCTGAGGTTTTGCCTTCTCGGAGAGACCCCATCTGGACCAGGATTTTATCATCTGTAAACAGGCATTGGGAACTGCGCGTCAGCATCCACACGACTGAAGTCGGGCCACGCATCGGATATGATAAAACAACAAACGCGACGGGAGAAAGGAAAGGAAGAAAGGAGAGTATGTGCTGGCATGCAGAAAATGCTGCATGCGGTTTCAATTCAAGTCTGTCGACGCACCGCTTAGAGTCATGTCACGAAAGTGTTGATATTCGCAAGAACGGTCATTGCACACGCCGCCTGCCGATTCGAAAGGGCACAAGTGTTTCATGGAATCAATATCGTGACTGTAAGTTAGAGAACGATAACCTTCTGAAACAAGATCAGAGTAGTTGGGGTGATAGCGATAGGATTTGAAATGCCTGAGCGGGCTTTCGTACGGCGTGAACTTATGGTCAGGGACCTGGACTTCCGGCGCATTCTAGAAGGCATGTCAGTTATTCCGTGCCTTATGAATCACTCGAGTCATCTCCAAGTGGTCCCAACCTGCACATGACCTGAGTCCGCACTCACTTCCTGGACATCTCCCGTTAGTGGCTCAGCCTGAGACTGATCAGGAAGAGGTCCGGGAGACACTTCGGGTTCTTCCCCGCTAAGAGGAGGCGGCGTATATTCAGATTCCACTGAGCCTGAATCCTGCTCTGGTTCTGGTGGTTCATACCCCTCCGATTCGGCAGAAGACATGCGGTCATCTCCGTCAACATCACCAGGCTCATAAGATTCTTCTCCCGACGAGCCATAATCGGGAGCTGGCGCATGTCCCGAGAAAGGTGGGTGGCTCTCTGTGCGAGTCTCCTTTTGTGTTTCCTCATCCCCGGCGCGCCTCTCCGCATCTTCAACAAAATCACGCCCAGGGCTACGCACGTCTTCGTCGTCTGATTCTTCCTGGCTATCGGAGTCGGAGCTGACACTAGAGGTATCTGTAGACTCATCCATCGACGACCCTGTAGAATCAGAGGAGTACGCATGCGATGCTTCCCGCTCGAGATCGGCAGAAAGGGTCGGATCATGGTCTAGTTCCGCCTGCGGTTCTTGCTCGGCCGGACTTGCTTCTTCAATAGACTGGGGTTCTTCTCGGTCCTTCTCCGTAGGCAAAAGAATATCTGCCATGGGAAAATCATCCTCGTTTACAGTCGGTGCCAAGGGGGGTGCTAGAGAAGGCAAGTAAGTTTGTAAACCCACGCCAATGCCGTGATATTGAAACCAGAACAAAGGGATGCTGAATGATAGAACACAAAAGAAAACGTACCTTTTCCTGCAGGCAATGATGCTTCATCGCTTTCCAATTTGCGTTGAGCTGCGTCAAGCTCGTCGAGCGTCAAGCCATTGATTTCAATGCCCAACTCTTCTAACTCGCGGATAAGCTGTCGACGTCCTTGCTTCCCCTTCGCAATTGTTGAAAGTGTATTATCTTCCTCTTGCTTTAGCAGAAATAACTTCGCCTCAGAACTCGCTATTTCAGCGTCCAATCCGGGAAGGCCCGATTCAATTGTTTGTTTGCGAAGGATTTTGGAGCGCATTGTTTGTAGCTCTGTTGAGTCCATCGAGGCGAGGGGTTTCGTCGGCGGGACAGTGATGGGTCCATTCGGCCTGGAAGTTGCTTGTTCCATGAGCGCTGCTCCGAGCGCAACGCCAATGCCGTCGTCGTATTCATTCGCAATTGCTGGCTCCACTGGAGTGACATCGTCGGATTCGAGGTCCGCGTCCATCGAATCGTTTGTGATGGGTAAAGATGAGGCATTGGTAGCACGAGGGGATTGAGAGTGATTAACATCTAGCTTAGCTTTCTTTCGTTGCTCAAGTTCCGCAATCTTGCGGTGCATTGCTTGTATTTCCATATCCTTCTGGCGAAGGTGTTCCTGGTCGTTATTCCGAGGGGTCAGAGACGTAGGAAAGTCGGACGATGAAATATTCCCAAATGATTGGGGTTCTTCAAGATCCATTGCATCATCTTCGTTTTCTTCATAGAACTCATCGTCACTGATGTCTATCACAAGCCTATCCTCGGGAGCCGCATCCCCCGCCCCATGACTGAAACCCTTTCTCGAAAAATCATTGATGTCATCAAAATCGGATGCGCGAGGACGTTTGCGTTGAGTTACCCGGGGTTGCGGAGTCGGATCAAGCGGAAGATTTTGAATAGGCGTAGCATGAGGGTCAGGAGCTGGAATCTGATCCGACCCTGTCATGAATAGGCCGGGAAGACAAGCAGAAGAAACCTCACGTTCGGGAGGCCGTTCAGGTAATGGATGCTGCCCTGCCATAGGGATGCTTGGAGGTGGAGCGGCAGTTCGCGGCGACTGGTCTTGGGAAGCGGGGTCTTGCTGTGTTTTCTGGTTTCTCATCAAGCCCTGCTTCTTAAGTTGCTCAATTCGCTGCCTTGCCAGTTCAGTTTGAGCCTTGTTTTTTTCTCTGACAGGGATTTCTTTTTCCTTGCCAGATATTTCACTCAACGGTATCACTGTGTTGGGGATTGTTGATATTTCCTTGGCAACATCCTGAGGCGACGGAGACGGACCAGAAGCTTTGGCAGCCTTTGCTGCAAGCATACGAGCGATGACCTCTTTGCGCTCCATTGGCTTCGTGGTGTCTGACTGGGAAGCAGAGGCGGGACGTCCTACAGGACTTTGTTGTAAATCGCTTGGACTTTTCGTTATTGAATCTGTCCCTTGCCTTTGCGCGGGGCCCACTCCGTTGGTGAATGACGCGGGTTCAACCGCTGCTGATTGGACCTGTTCCCCTGTTGCAACAGGCAGCGTGGGAACTTTGATGCCCACCTCTTCATATAATTGTCGAAGCAATGCCGGGTTAATGCCTTCTCCCACCAGCTCCTCAAAGCGAATATTGTGAGGCGCAAGACCGAGAAGGGCGCCTTGAGCCTGAATTCGAAGTTGATCTGGCGACTTTCTGGAATTAGACTGGGCGCGAGGTTGTTCTTTTTCGTTATCTTGACCTGGGGGCACTGGTTGCTCGTGGCCGCTATTTCCAGATCTGTGCTCAGGTACGGGAGAGGCAGCGGTAACCGACATGGGAGGATTATAGGCTGCACGGAGTTAGTCGAGTTATGACTTGTAAAAGGAAACGGGGATAATACGGGATCCGCTGGCTCTGGAGGAAGCACGCGAAACAGAAGCTTCACCCTCCTCCGAGTTCCTGGGAAGGCTTTGCGTGTAGCCGTTCGTTGTTGGATTGTTACTCAGTGCGTCGGTCTCCATCTGGACAGGAGGGGAGTACGCGCTTGCAACACGTCCAGACTGGCCCTTCTTCTTGCTCCCCGGGCGTGCAAAGTCCATATTCTCTCCATCCGTGACTTCGCCTTCCTCCTGATCATAATTAAGTCTTGATTTTGCCGAGTAATCCTGTTGACGACCCATCGCGTTTACAGTGTGACCCGACGTGGTTTCACTTATCGCTGGCGGATTCGTTTGTGTCTGCATCGGAAGAGGCATCGGTGGATAGCCTAACAGAGGCATTTGTAGAGGAAAAGGGGCGGGAGGAAATTGGGAAGGTGTTAATGAACCCGGAAAAGGAAAGGGCGGCGGAGGTAATGGCCCAGGAGCACCAACCCCGAGACCCGGAAGACGCGAGTTCGCATCAAAATTGTTCATATTGTTGGGAGAATTTTGAGTGCTAGATGAATCCGGAGGGAAAGGGAAATTAGGCGGGAACATCGAAGGCATGGGAGATTGTAGAGGATTCGTGGGAGGCCATTGATTCGAGGACCCCCCGAACGAGGGCGTAGAGGTATAGTTTGACATTATCGACTGCACAGTCTATCAGTACAGCATGGAGGTACGAGGAACGGAGAATTCACTGCAGGTTAGTGAGTCAAGAGATGGCCTGGAAGAACTACAGCGTATTCAGGCGTCGCACATCATCAAAGCTGAGAAGAACGGCGAAGAATGTCCAAACAGGAGATATCCCAATGATTTACGCAGAACAGTAGCAGCGACCGGTTTTAAACGGTTTTGGGTATTCCAAAGCAAATGGTGAAAGAAGAAATCCAACAGAATCGAAACAAAAGAGGAAAAAAGCAATCAAAAACCGGGGTTGTATTCACCGTGCAGAGTCGAAGCAGCGCCCGGAGAGAAAAAGATGAAGTTTCACGGCTGCCATGTGCGCACGTGACGTAGTCCCACTGATTGGGACTAGCGTGAGATCGACACTCGGCGGAGGGCGTAAACAAACAGCGTCGGGCAGAGAAAGAGAAGAGAACAAGACGACGACAACAAGAGAGATCTTCTTGTTCTCGTCTTCCAACTACTTCTCTGCCCCCTCCGTTCTCTCTCTCGGTTGTATGTGCTCCCCGTTTTCTTATCCTATCATCTTTTATTCTGTCACCGCTCTGCTGGATGGGAACTCCACGTTGGAGATATTGATAAACTCGAGTTTCTCATAACATTGACTGCTATAGGATCCGAGCTTATTCCTAGATGATGCGCCATTGAAGCCTCTAAACAATTATGTTTCCTTCTCAGTTAAACTCGCCAAAGCGTGCCAATCCATTTGGTCGCACCTCTCCAACTCCATCGCCTGGAGGCCAGAATGGTTCCGCACGGCCAAGGTCGGCGATTTTAACATCACCAAGCAGAATCGATGGGTCCAAGGGCCATTATCGAAACTCTGCATCCATTACTCAACTCACACCGACTGCCCTTTCACCGCACGGGAACCGAGACAGATCGAATTCTCTGCGGAATCATGCGACTACCGGAACGTTTGCACCCGAATTTATCAAGTCGGAGGAATTGCGACGCGGAGCAGATCAGATCCGGGGTTTGGAGGGCGAGAATGACTTTTCGGGTAACAAGTACGTGTGGCTACGGGATCCTGAAAAGGCATTCGTGCGCGGGTTGGTGTTAGAAGAGGGACAAGATGGGCGGCTGTTGGTCCAGCCGGATTATGGCGAGGTACGACGTACAACAGCTCGATGAGGCTTCCTTTGACTGACCCTTTTTTCTTCTTTTTTTTTTAATAGCCACGGGAAGTGGACTCCCACCAGGTCGACAAGGTCAATCCGGCAAAATTCGATAAAGCAGACGATATGGCGGAACTCACACACTTGAATGAAGCTTCGGTTGTTCATAACCTGCATACCCGTTACCAGGCGGATCTCATCTATGTCAGTACACACCAAGGAAATTCGATGGGCTTCAAGGACCTTGCGTTGACATATTTGTCCAGACATATTCGGGGCTGTTCTTGGTAACAATTAATCCGTACTGCCCATTGCCGATTTACAGCAGCGAATATGTGAAGATGTACAAGGGACGAAGCAGGGAGGAAACGCGACCTCATATATTCGCCATGGCGGACCAGGCATTTAGAAACATGGTTGAGGAAGGCGAGAACCAAAGTATTCTCGTGACGTAAGTCGCCAGATGATTCATCCAATTTGAGCCCTAACTGACATGGAAACAGCGGAGAGTCAGGTGCAGGTAAAACGGAGAACACCAAGAAAGTCATCCAATATCTCGCGGCTGTCGCTACTTCGGATACTCCGTACATTCGTTCGGCACCTCGCTCGGGGTCGAAACAATTGTCGGCCTTGTCGCAGCAAATATTGAGAGCAAACCCCATCCTTGAAGCTTTCGGTAATGCGCAAACTGTTAGAAACAACAATTCCTCGCGGTTTGGAAAGTTCATTCGAATCGAGTTCGCGCGGACTGGCCAAATCTCCGGCGCTTGGATTGACTGGTACCTCCTGGAAAAGTCTCGAGTCGTGAAACCGAACCCAAATGAACGGAACTACCACGTCTTTTATCAACTCTTACAGGGTGCCGACCGAGAGTTGCGGAGGAATTTGCTTCTGTCGGATTTAGGCATCGAAGACTTTGCATACACCAGAGATGGAAACGACACCATTGCAGGAGTGTCTGATGTGGAAGAATGGAACTCATTGATCGAGGCCTTCCATGTCATGAGCTTTTCGCCAGAGGACCAAATGTGCATTCTCCGAACGATCGCAGCTGTCCTTCACCTGGGCAATGTGACCATTGTGAAGGAGAGCATACGGGCCGATCAAGCTGCCTTGGGCCCAGATTCACTCAACAGCATTGAACGGGCCTGTCATCTGCTTGGTATTGCGCCGAATGAGTTTGTTAAAGGGCTTCTTCATCCTAAAGTAAAAGCGGGCCGTGAATGGGTGGAGAAGGTTCAAACGCCAGAACAAGTCCGGTTAGCATTGGACGCCCTGGCGAAGGGTATCTACGAGCGAGGATTTGGGAACCTCGTGTCCCGGATTAATAGCCAGCTGGACCGCAGCACCATGGCCAGCGAGGGTAACTGCTTCATTGGAGTTCTGGATATTGCGGGTTTCGAAATCTTCGACAACAATAGCTTCGAGCAGCTCTGCATCAACTACACCAACGAAAAATTACAACAATTCTTCAACCACCATATGTTTGTGCTTGAACAAGAGGAATACGCACGAGAACAGATCGAATGGCAATTCATTGACTTTGGAAGAGACTTGCAGCCTACTATCGATCTGATTGAGCTGACGAACCCTATTGGTATCTTCTCATGTCTGGACGAGGACTGTGTTATGCCAAAAGCCACGGACAAGTCATTTACCGAGAAGCTGCATTCGCTGTGGGATCGTAAGACTCCTAAGTACCGCGCCGCTCGGTTGAACCAAGGCTTTGTTCTCACTCACTATGCTGCGGATGTTGAGTATGATACGCAAGACTGGCTGGAGAAGAACAAGGACCCATTGAACGACAATGTCACTCGACTACTCGCACGTTCAAGAGACAGCCATATAGCGAACCTCTTCTCGGATTGTGGAGACGGAGAAGACGATGGGGAGTACCCTAAGAGCAGGGTGAAGAAGGGTCTCTTCCGAACAGTTGCCCAGAGACACAAGGAACAGCTCTCTAGTCTCATGACCCAGCTGAATTCGACCCATCCTCATTTCGTTCGTTGTATTATACCCAACCACAAAAAACGGCCCAAGTTGTTGAACGCTCCTCTTGTGTTGGACCAACTGCGGTGTAATGGTGTGCTTGAAGGCATTCGAATTGCCCGTACCGGATTCCCCAACCGCTTGCCATTCTCCGAATTTCGACAACGCTATGAAGTTCTCTGCCGTGGCATGCCTAAAGGTTATCTGGACGGACAATCTGCCACCCGGACTATGCTGGACAAACTGGGATTGGATAGGACCTGGTACCGGGTTGGTCGGACGAAGGTGTTCTTCCGAGCTGGTGTTCTGGCTGAGCTCGAAGAGAAGCGCGATCAACTTATTCGGAACATCATGGGCCGCTTCCAGTCCGTTGCCCGTGGTTTCCTCTCACGGCGCATTGCGAATAAACGGTTGTACCGTGCGGAGGCTACCCGGATCATCCAGCAAAACTTCCACGTCTATCTTGATATGAAGGCCGACCCGTGGTGGCGCCTGTTCTCGAGAATGAAGCCTCTGTTGGGTGAGACGCGCAGTGCAAACGAAGTTAAGAAGAGAGATGAAAAGATCCAACAGCTCGAGGTCAAGATGGAACAGGACTTGTCCGACCGTCATAAGTTGGAGGAAGAAAGGCGGCGCACGGAGGTCGAAATTCAGAAGATCCAACAAGTCCTCGAAAGCGAACGAGCTCTGGCCCTCGACAAAGAAGAAATTTTCAAACGCTTGCAGGTGCGGGAAGTCGAGCTGAGCGAAAAACTGGCCGGCACGATTGCAGACCAGGAGAGCCTAGAAGACCAGCTGGACGAGCTCATCGACGCCAAGAAGAGGGCAGACGACCAGCTCGACCTTCGGCTTACGCAGCTGGAGCAGGCAGGAGAAATCATCGAACGCTTAGAAGCTGAGAAGAACGAGCTGCAGTCGCATCTTGAAGCCGTTTCGCAGAAGCTACTCGATACGGAGACGGAGTCCATTGAAAAGGAACAGCACCTCGAGCAAATCAGCCAGGACGTGGAAATGTTGCAAAGCCATCTGACACTGAAGGATCGCAAGCTGCAGGACCTGGAAGCGAAGTTGCTGAAGACAGACCAGGAGCTCGATGTCAAGTTCGCGCAGGCCTCGAAGGAGCTTGAGCAGTCCAAGGAACGAAACAAGGAACTCGTTGATGAGAACCGATCCATTCGGGACCAGATCTCCGATCTTTCCGCAACTTCGACTGGCTACGAAGAGATGCTACGGCGCAAAGAGAGCGAGATGACTGTTTTGCGAAACGACGTCAAAAAGCACGAGGAAGACAAGCAGCAATTGGTGCTTGAAAAGAGCTCGCTCACTACCCGCCACGATAACATGCAAAATCGTCTTCGTGAGGTGCAAGCGGAAACGGATGCCATGACGTCCGAGAAGCTTCAGCTGGAAAAGGAAGTGCAAGACGTGAAGCACCTCCTGGAGGAGAAGATATCCGAGGATGCTGAAGCTGGGGAAAGCAGGAAACTTCTCGAGCAGCAAAGCCAGGACCTCAAGAGCCAACTGTTCCAGGCGCAAGCTGATCTGAGTCGCGAGCGCCAGTCCAGAGACGACGTGCAAATGCTGGCGGAGCATAACCTTGCTGAGCTCAGGGACAAATATACCTCTCTCAATGACGCCAAGATAACCATTGAAAAAGAGATGTACATCCAACAAGATACACTGCGACGCGCCACGGAAGCTCGTGTGATGGCCGAGCAGTCACGCAAAGAATTGCAAACGGAATTGATTAAGCTTCGGGATCGATTCACCAATGTCGAAAACGCGCGATTGAATGCGGAGAGCGAGATCGAGCGAAAGATCATGCAGCAAGCCGATCAGCGCCTGAGTAGCTTGCGCACCGAATTCGAAGAGAAGACACGCCTGTACGAAGAAGGCGAAGCAGAACGAGCGCGTCTCTCGAACAGGATCCAAGAGCTCAACAACGCCATTGCAGAATCCGAAAACTTCCGTATCCGCCATGATCAACACAAGGAACGTTTGGAACGGGAGCTGGTGACCCTCAAGGGCAGGCTTACGGCGTCAGAGAACGACAATCGGGCTCTCCTAACTAAGATCCAGCAAAAGAACCTTGATATCGCGAGGTCGAATTCCCGGGCCAGTGATAACCAGCGGATGCGCATCACCAACCTCCAGAAGGAGAAGGCTAGGGTCGAGGACGAAAATAAGAAGTTGTCGCACCAGCTGGGAGACCTGCAGCTTACTATCACCTCCTTGGAGAAGCAAAAAGAGAAGCTGTCGCTGAGCTTGGAAGACCTGAACCATGAGGTCAACAGGGAGCACAAGAACAGTCGGAACGCTGAAAAGGCCGCCTCAACCGCCAATCTTCAGCTCGCGGAAGCAAACAGGTCGCTGGAGACCGAGAGGCAATTGCGCTCACAAGCGCAAACAAACACCCGACAGCTGCAAAGCTCCCTCGATGGGGCGAATAAGGAAATTGAGGACCTACACCGTAAGCTCACGACGCTACACAAGGTCTTCGCCCCGGATGACGAGACATCTAAGTCTTGGGAGGAAGTTCAGCCCGATCTGTCGAAGAAGGTCGATCTAGCACAACTACTGGACGAAACACAAAGCAGGTTGCAGGTTACCGAAGAGAAGTACAGTCGGGCTGAGGGCCAGCTTGCGGAGATGAGACAACGACATGGTGATGAGATGAAGGAACTCGACACCCGCTACTATTCTTCTAAGCGCGCCCTGCTGGAGGAAGCCGACCAGAACCAAGTCGGTAACCGCACCCCAACGCATGTTAGAAAGAATTCCGACAACGGAGTGCTCAAGAAATTCGGAACTCCCACAACGCCCAACCGACGAGTGAACTTCAATGACAATGCCCCTGACTCTGGCCGCTCTGACAAGACCGTTGATACTGTTGCCTTCCAGAAACGAATGGATATGGCCACCGAGATCGAAGAGCTTCAGAACAAGCTACAGCTCAGCGAGATGCAGAACAAGCATCTTCAGAGCCGCGTTAACCAAGGGACTCCAGCTCAAGAGGTGTTCCAGGACGAAAGCCCTTCAACTAGACGGGCGCAGTTGTTGGAGCGTGAGAATGGCCGTCTCCATGACCAACTCGATGACTCTGCCAAGAA